GATTTCTATACGTATTTCTATAGATATTTCTATATATTATATTATATTCCTACAATATTACAGGATCATACGTCTCAACTCGCTGAGCTTACAAGACACTGTTGATATTCTTTGGATGCGCAAGTCCCAACAATGCATGTGTAGAGATGATGTGCGCCGGGCATTCCATGATCCAGTGATATCCAGTGCTTCGAGTCGAGCCCAGGGTGACCCAAACATCGCGTTGTCTAAGCAGCTGGCCCCCGCTTGGCATTGAACTCAGCGATCCGTTCACCATACTCCTGGGGATCTGGCCATGGAAGGATGCAGCCGAAGTGGCACGAAATGACCAAAGCAGTAAGTCCTTGGTGTAATCCTTCACCCATTGCTGAGCACCATCTTCGGAATACCTATTGGTGAATTTGAGACATGCATCTTCCATGACTTTGGAGTCTGAATTTTCTGTTGTTGCTTAGATTTCACTTCAATTTTTGCACCCAATCTCATCGAAACATCATGATGACAAATGAATGGTGGCACTGCAAACCTCGCCTCTTACAAAATCCACTTCTCATGCCGTGCTCGTCGTACCTGGTCATCTTTGATCTCTTCTTCCAGCAAGAAAACACACATACCACCACAACATTTCACTTATTTTTCCTTCTTAGAAGCTGTCAATGTTTGCCGTAGCGACCTCAACATGTCAACATGTCATTCTCTGCCGAAGCGTCCCTTCAACGATCCAAGATCCGACCCGCGGCTCACTGTATCTCGGACTTGATCTGTCCACCCTCGAAGTACTCACGCCAATGACCCGCCTGGGAGGTGAAGAATCTCTTGGGTCCCCTGACACTGTCGTGATTGACAACAGGGAATTTGTCTAAGGACTTTGACAAGCCTAAATCCGCCCACACCGCTTTGGCGGTGAAGGCGTGCTTATTGGGGGGCAACAGCAACACTAAATGCTCAATGACATTTGTTAATATAGCAGTCGCTATATCAGCTTTAGCTGGGGGGGGGGGCAAAAACGGTTTCGCACCGAGACCAGAATACGGTGGTGTTCTCGACATTTTTCGAGGATTTTTGGGTGTCTGAGCGCAAGAGGGTATTGAAATGGAATTTTGGGTCATTTTGGTAGCTTTCCGGCAATGGAAAAACGGCCAAAAATGAAAAAAACATTGTACATAGCAAGATTTTGCAGGGTTTTTGGATGCCAGAGCATTGAAAACACTGCAAAACAAGTGTTTTGGACTGACGTTATAGCAAAAAACGTGTAAATTACCGTATGCTTGACTGGAAACATTACAAAAACACTGTCAAAAGCAATGTTTTGGAAGGATTTACTGCCTTTATGGAAAAAAACGTGTAAATTACGGTCTGTTTGACTGGAAACATTGGAAAAACACTGTCAAAAACAATGTTTTGGAAGGATTTCTTTTATATATATATATATATATATGTTGGAGTTGGCTACCGGCATTGGAACATGGAAAAATTGAAGAAAACACTGTAAATAGCGGTATTTTCAACGGTTGGGGAGATAAGGGAACTGGAAGCATTGTCGAACATGATGTTTTCGACCGGTTTTATGGCGACAAAAGTGTAAAGTACCGTGCTTTGAAGGAAACCATTGCAAAAACATGGAAACACTTCAAAGAACACGGGATTTGGGGGACTATCTAGGCGTCGTTGTCTAGCTATTTGAAATTCCGCAGCTTGGAGAGCCTCCAAGGGAGGGAAAAGTGAAAATTCCATAGCTTGGAGAGCCTCCAAGGGAGGGAAAAGTGAAAATTCCATAGCTTGGGAAGCTGTCACGGCGGGGAAAAGTGAAAATTCCCTAGCTTGGGGAGCCCCCACGGGTGGGAAAAGTGAAAATTCCCTAGCTTGGGGAGCCCCCACGGGGGGAAAAGTGAAAATTCCCTAGCTTGGGGAGCCCCCACGGGGGGAAAAGTGAAAATTCCCTAGCTTGGGGAGCCCCCACGGGGGGGAAAAGTGAAAATTCCCTAGCTTGGGGAGCCCCCACGGGGGGGAAAAGTGAAAATTCCCTAGCTTGGGGAGCCCCCACGGGGGGGGAAAGTGAAAATTCTTAGCTTGGGGAGCCCCCACGGGGGGAAAACCACCCTTAGCCCCTCTCACGGACCGAAATAAACTTGCGGTGTGGGCGGCCACCCCACGCGAAGCGGGGTGAATATCCTAAATGCTAAATACATCTAAATACTGCATTTGATAGCTGCGAAATCAAGGTGAGCCCTAAGGCTGTGCAAATATTGCTTCACATTGTCTTACCGACTATACAAATCTATACAGTACCTCCCATGAGCAGCCGCACCACGCTGCCATACACTTGTCCCTGGCCTTGCGTGCTTGCATGGTGCGCTCATCCTCAACAAAAAACCTCGGCAAATCGGTTCGAAACTGCCATGCAGTTCATGCCGCTACTCAGCAGACACCTTGGCTCCTGCTTCCGTACTTGTTTGTCAATTTGATACTGATGATTAACTGATGATTGAGGTCGGAATTCGGAATATTCCCTCTCTACAATGTTACAAAGTTCTCATTCTAAGATGAATGTCCAGCCGGCATCAACTTCACCTTGAGATATGGATGCAATCCACTATAGAATCCCGGTCCAATCAGTATTTGTGCAGCTTCGCAACAGCTTCTCCGATTTGAGACGCTGATTCTCATAGAAGTGCTTCCGGCTCAGGAAGGGCTGCCAGCAATAAATCATCAGCTTTAACATCTTTGAATATCCAATATTATCCAATATCCTTCAATCTTTCATCATCTTGCACTGCCAATCACCAATCAATTCAAGAAAGTAAACTCTCATGAAAAGAGCTCATCTTGATGCGCGTTTCGAGGGGATACAATCCATGCCTGACCCAGTGCGAAGTGCACATCAAGCCGACACACACCTGGCAATGGGATAGGGTAAATGGTGGCGAATGGTGGCTGAATATATGCTGCGAAATTTCCCACATGATCCAATCAAAATCCAACATCTCTTGGGGAAATTCATGGCTGCTAACTCGAACTGTTGCTGTTGCTACAGTAGTACTGGTAACAGCACAGGAGGCACTGGACATGACTCAAAGATCTCCCAGTGGAAACTGGCCAGCTTCACCCCCCACATCAAAGTGCTTTTCTTCGATGACCCGCTCACAAGATCGCCTCAATGCGCTTGGACCATGGGACAAAATGGGATGTCAGTCGAACAGCTAAATCGAACTCAAAATACCACATGCCATGCCACATCTATGGCATCTATGGCCATGGCACATTTACTTTGGCCGCATTTGAAGACGTTCTGGGTGAATCAAGGGGCCATCAAAAATCTTCGCCCAAGGTGCTGGGTGTGTGTTGCAGGTAGTCGTTGGAACGTCCTGAAGTACTTTGGGTTCCCATTGTCGTGGTACTGCCTTTCCTCAGATGCTGATCTCAGAACCTGGAACCCATGGCTAGAGTGTAGCTAGATCACTTTGCACCAGTGAAATTTGACCTAACAATCATTCATTTTAGCGTGTCTCAAAATTTGGGATACCTCAAAATCATCCAAGTGGTCATTCATCTCATTTCTGATGGGGGGAATCAACAGTTTTTCTCGACCCCCCCAGTCATTTATTTATTTGGGGTTTCACGAAAATTGGGATAACCCCCAAGTCTCCAATGGTTACATATACATCATATACATTTCACCATGGGGAATCCCCATGGCTTTTTCGCTGGCCCACTGGGAACGCCATGGTACCGAGTTTTCTCCTGGGGCACCAGGCAGTGTACAAACGACCATCGGCTTCATCTCCATCGGAGTCATCCTCCTCGCTGTTGTAGCCTTGGGAGAGCATCACCTCAGGGGTGATGGGCCGCTTGTGATGGGCCGGGCCAAGTGATGGGCCATTTAAGTGAGATGTGAAAAGAAGAAATGTCTATAAGATACATAACTAATATTATATATGTAACTGTATGTATATATTATATTCTGATGGTAGATAAAGTTGATTCCACATTCTTTGCAGATGGGAAAACTGAGTTCGCCGCATCAGTTCTGTGCCTGGTATAGATTCGCGCCAACTGCAACTCTTCTCTGCTGCTCCTAAGTGAGCTTTTGTGAGGTCAAGTAGCTATTGCCCTGAGCAGATCGTGCCATCCACGTCATCCACTTTGATTGTTTTCAGTCAAACCAAGCCAAATCCATCCAAAAGTATCCCAAACATGTTAGCTAGGGTGATAATATCCCCATATATAAACATCAATCAACTATAGGTCTCTATCATTGACCAATCAACCATCATTTACAAATTTTAATATCATATCATCAATCAACCATCTCTATCATATCATCCTTCATCAATATCCCAAATCCTGGTAGTATAACCTCCTATAGTTTAACCACTCAACCAGGGTCCATCACAGCCGGGCATCTTATGCAAGTCCAACAGGCCATTGGCCCCAGGCACTGCCAACTGCTCCTGGAATATAACTATACAGCGTATTATGATGTATGATCATCATATATTATCATCTTATAATATTATATATACATATTATATATACATATTATTATAATATATATATATATACATATTGTTATAATATATATATATATATATACATAATATTATAATATATATATATTATTATTATTGTTATTATTATTGTTTTTTGTATTATTATTATTATTATTTTTATTTTTATTATATATCTATATTTATTATTATTAGTATTGTTATTATTATTATTATATTATATTATATTATATATTATATTATGTTATGTTATATTATATATATGTATATTATTATTATATGTATATATTATTATAATATGTAATATAATTACAATATGTATATATTATTATAATATGTATATATTATTATTATATGTATATATTATTATTATATGTATATATTATTATTTTTTTTATTATTTGTATTATTATTATTATTGTTATTATATGTATATATTATTATTATATGTATAGTATTATTATATGTATATTATTATTATATATATATTTGTATATATTATTATTATATGTAATATATTATTATTATCATTATTATTATTAATGAATATATAATAATAATAATTATTATTATTAATATTATATATTATTATATATGTAAATATATATATATATATATATCACTATAATATATATACATATTATTTATATATTACATATATACATTACATATTATATTTACTATATATATAATATATATTATTTAATATGATTATTTATTATATGACAGTACATCATGTATATATTATTTTATTATATATTATCATATTGAGTTTTAGTGATCACAATGAATCTAATCAAATTGTCGCGAGCAATACATATCAAATACAGGAGTAAACCAACGCATCTCACTCAGCAAGGTGCACTGAACTCGCGCTTTAGCGTCAACATGCGTCAACATTTGCCGTTTTTTCAAAATGATCAAATACCTTGATGAGTCCGGTCCTTGCCATCGTTATAGCCTTTCACCATGTTGCGTTGGAAAGGCAGGAAGCTACTATTGGGCACTGCCCACACATTCAGGTGTATCAGGTGTGCATTCGCTTCGGCTGTTGCAACCCGACTTTCTTTTTCATCTGTGGGAGATGCACAGGTCTTGGTCTTGGAGCTGGGTGGAAATGCTGTAAAAGGGGGGTCGTGCAATCCTGCTTTCAATGACCGCGAATGGCTGCGGATCCAGCCAGGCAAGAGCTGACCTGCTTGGTGGACAGCCAAAAAAAGTACTGTCCCATACTGTACCCAGTATCTTCAGCATATTGATGGACGCAGTGTCTTTTGAACCAATGTCAACACCAGCTTTGCTGTGGCCCATGGCCGCATGTTGCAGCCAAGGCTACCTGTGCGTTGTCAGCAAACTGCAAGACATGTTGTTGCACAATTGTCATTGTTGTGCACAAGGGCAGCAAGGAAGACACACAGACACACACAACAATATTTTTGTGTCTTAATTTCGCATATAATCACAAACCAATGCAAGCTTGTGTGATGCATTTTGCAAACATTGTGCATGTCATCTATGCATGTCTATACAACATCGATCGTACCTCTGTTAATCTCTCCAAAGGTTTAAAGGCCCACCCACATCAAGTGTACTTTTGAGCTTGGAAACATTCTTCCGGAGCCATAGTCTTTGAGGTCGCGAAAATATGCTCCTAAAATCTTTCCTGGCAGGGATCGGATGTTGTCATGGATTGATTCAACGTTTCGACTATTTACAATATCAATGACAATCCAAGCTGAATCAACGTTAAGCCCCTGAGTCTGAGTTCATCTGTATCTCTAGCGTGAAAACGCTTCGCAGTTATTCAGTTCTCTACTGCGTTGGCTGTGAAGCAAGAAACTTTGCCACAACAGTATTTTTCTTCAAAGGTTTCGCGCTTCATCTTTTCAAGGAATAAACAACAGCAATGCGCGGATCATTCATCCATGGAGCACATTGAAACCGCGGCTCGACCATGAGACCTTGAACATAGATACGAACAGCTCGCACGTGTGACGCTGACAATCCAGGGTAGAGCCATATGTTGCCAAAAAGAAGAAAACTATTGGCAAGTGTGTCGGAATGAACTATTGTCATCAAGCGTGCAGAAGCTTTCAAGCAACATAACTAAGCAGTGCAAATGAGCTCGGCATGTCCGGTTCTTTGCACACAGTCTGTAGGACTCCAAACAGGCTGGCAAGGCGAAACTCCTCCTTAGGTGTTTTAAGGCGGCAGTCGGACTGTGTAAACAGCCATCGGATCCGAAAACCCATTGGAATTGGAGGTGCCCGGTTCAAGTGGGCGCGAAAGATCTGTCAAGACGAGGAGCATGATTCCGGTCTTCCGCTGAGAATTGTGGGATGGCAAAGTGCACCTCCTTGTAACCCCTGGCTTGGCGGACAAGACCATAGGAAGTCTGAGCAGACACAGAAACTCAAAATAATCAAAATACAAGTACAGCCCAAAGTGATTCAAAGTGCAACGACTTGGCATAGAATGGACATAACATGCACATTCATGAATAGATAGCTGGATGATAGCTGGTTGGCACACCTTCCATCAAAAATGTACTGAATTTCTACTTGCACAACTACATCGAAGAATTCTATCAAGATAGCATCATGTACCCATCCTCTGGTGTTGACGGGGAACTTACCATGCCAGGGTGACTGTCCGAGATTTTCCTCGACCAAGGCTTTGACGAAGAGTGTGGCGATTTGTATTGGGTCACCACCTCAAAACTGCACTGGATGAGGTAGGTTTGGAGGGCAGTAATTACCATGTCAGCAGCGTCTGACGCCTCTGCAAAATTGGATTGTCTGCAAAATCTTACAGCAGTGTATATATATATATATATATGTCTCCCAAGGATCTCCGCACTCTTTTTCAGGAGCGCCTCAGGGTTGCTAGAGTTTGAGGCTAGGAGGGTCCTAAACCTGTACACGCAAAGCCCATTGCCCAGTCAAGACCAGGCCCACAACCTAGGTTGGTGATGGGTGTGAGATCGGGCAAAACCTTCAAGAAGGTATGCCACTGCGGCTCAAGAGCCTCAACATCCCAACATGCCCGGTGAAGCCAACACACCGAAAGCAAGGTGGTGCCCGGGGACGGTTGGGGGGTAGAACCAACAGCTGCGATCAAGGAGACATATCATCGTTGCTCCATTACATGGCAAGCCACTCCATTACGGCCCCACTCATTGCAATGTCTCCCAAGGATCTCCGCACTCTTTTTCAGGAGCGCCTCAGGGTTGCTAGAGTTTGAGGCTAGGAGGGTCCTAAACCTGTACACGCAAAGCCCATTGCCCAGTCAAGACCAGGCCCACAACCTAGGTTGGTGATGGGTGTGAGATCGGGCAAAACCTTCAAGAAGGTATGCCACTGCGGCTCAAGAGCCTCAACATCCAGTGCTCAGAAGCAGGCCAAAAAGAAATACAGCCTCACACTGTTCCAAAGAAATACAGCCTCACACTGTTCCAGACCTGCTTCTTTTCTGGCGTAGCCGCACTTGAGAGCAGAAACGTTGACCTTCACGGACACGGCGACGTTGGGCCCTAGTCCAGGTAACATTTGCCAACTGCATTGTTCCTTCATCCACATAGGATTTGGCAGTGCGGGGGCAAGCCCAGCGACCTCTAGCGACCACGGAGTCAATGGACAAGGTATGTTGAAACCACCAAGTAGCACCACCTCGGCGAAGGGCATACGGGGTATAGTCACTGGGGCCAAATCCAGCATCTTCCAGAAGGCGGGAAAACCAAGCGCGGAAGGCATGCGCTCCCTGGGTCCATAACAGACGCTTGGAAGTGGGAGATATAATGGCTCTGGCCATGGCAACCAACTGCGGGTCTTCAACGAAGAGGACCTGAGGATTCCCTTGTGAAGTTTTGCTCCCAGGAAGGATGACACTAAGGCCTGTGTTCCTGGGGTGAAAAACTACATGATGGTGCGTGATAGCCAGGATCTCGGAGGTCCGCAAAAGGCAACAGAAGCCCAAGCCCAAGAGCAGGCCCAGGTTGGATTCCCCGCGTTGGAAAGCGACGCCCATGAGGGCTTCAACCAGTGCCCAGGATGCCGGCAACGCCCTCTGTGGCACGTAGCATCGTTGCCAGTTCCTTATAGGAACTGACTAGACTCCGGGAGGTCCAGCCGCAACTGCGGGTGAAACCGCTTCACTGCTGATAGCAGGTGACCCGAGTAGGAGAGAGGCTCTCCTTCTTGAAATGAAACATCAATGAATTCGGCGATTTGGCGGTCCAATTGGCGGGGCTTGGAAATCTTCAAATGCTTTTTGTTGACAAACTTCAGGAAACGGTCTATGGCAGCTCGATAGGCTCGAAGGGTGCGGGGGTGCAGCCCTGCATAGCGCAAACTACGCTTGGGCTTCATGCATTCTGCTGGGTTTATCTGCGAAATTCCAGGCACTGATGGTCCACAAAGGAAAGAGGTAGCCATCAGTGCCCAGTAGGTGGGCTGTACACCGCCGAAGCACCTGGTTCAAGCGCCGTGAGCTGCTGCGACCTTTTGACAAGCATCCACGAGTGACCATGGAGTCCACCACCAGGAAAAACTTGGAACGATGCTTGTCGCTTGTTCGTGCCCGCCGTTTCAAAAACACCGCCACAGTGCCCAGCTCCAATTCGTTGATGTGAGCGGGCTGCTTCCAAGGAAAGGCCAAAATGGTCTTCCAGTGCCATCTCATTGCTAAGTACGGCACCTCATGCAATTGAGGGTCAGATTCCTCCCCCAGCTCCAACACGAGGCGCACGTCAGAGCCCCGGTAAGATGCTGAACGCAGCAATGACCGCAGATGGGTTCTTTCTTGCCCAGCCACCATTGATAGCTCCAGGCGTGCCAAAAGGGCCGCCACAGCGTCCGCCACCACCTCCGTTGCCAGGCGGACAGTGGCCTGAGAAAGCTCCTGCTGGTAGTACCGTTCCCGCTCTCGGAGGACCATGTGCTCAAAGGTCCCATCCAGATCAATCTGCCTTCTCAGGGCCCGCGCGTAAGCCTTGCAGAGTTGCCAAGGGTACTCCGCCTCCTCCTCAGTGTCGAACCGGAGGGTTCCGTCAGCTCGCTCTTCCACCCCGTAAGGCTGCAGACCGACATGGCCCGGACAATCCTTGTTGAGGAACCCGGGCAAGGTCTCGATGTTTCCCAAAAAGGAAAACCACTTTTTGCGAGACCCTCCAAAGCAGCAGGAAGACCCCACTGAATGTGAGAAGGCCGGATCCTCTTCGAGAGCCTTGGCCAACTGAAACTCCCAGACCCACGAGCCATAGGGGTGCTCCATGGTCCAGTACCGCTTCCCCTTTGCTGAATGGCCCCTCTTGATGGCTTTCAGAACCATGTTGTTTGACTGCCGCACCCGGGCTTTCAACTCCGTGCTCAGCCAGGGGAAACCCATCAAGTGCCGGTGGTCTCGGACTGGTTGTGGCCCGGCTACTGCCCGTCCGCTGGGCAGCACAATCGGCTTCCCCCTGGCTTTGGAGAACAGCCGACACTCCGGCGCCCAATGCTCCGCCTCCAAGAACTCATCCTCGCAGAGCCGCTGCAAAGTCTCACGGCCTTCATCTGTGAACATGTTGTGGCCGAAGTGGAGATCATAGGGCTAGCTACCGCATGGGACAACGGAGCTCTTCTGCCCGCGAATCTCTCACCAAACCGTGGAGGGCGCCAAGTTCGCCGCGGGCACTCACGATGGGCCTCATGATCCACGTCCCGGTGTTCCATGACACAGGCCAAAGAGCAGAACGCCCCGCCACAGTCTGTGGGGCAGGGGTAACGGTCCTCCTGGCCCAGGCGTTTTCCGCACTCATAACAGCGGTCCCCCGTCACATCCAAGGTCTGAGGCGGCCGCCGGAACTCAGTAGCTACCGCTGCTCCGCCACCGGTTGGCGACGCATCAGTCACCGCAATCTCTCCATCAATCGGTGCCTTCAAGTTGGTCACCATGCAGGGCACCAGGGACATGACCATCGCTATCTCTTGAATCACCTCGGCAGGGGGACGCTCAGATGTGGAGCCCCCCGACAGTTCCTGAATCTCGTGGAACACCTCCTGGAAGACAGAGAAGAGAGGACGCCTAAAGCACATCCCAAAGGTTGCTTTGCCGACGAAGTGCCGCAATAGGAACTCTCCCCACTGCTGTTGACCCAAGAGGGCACTGCCAAGCCCTACCAGCCCGGCCATCTTCTCACGGGCCAAGCCGTAGCGACCACGCTCGCCATCAAGCTCACCTCCTTGGAGGGTGCCCTGCGTGGATGATACCAAGCGCTTGGCCTTGTTGAGCGGCAGGCCTGTTTCTTGACACACCTTCAGGAAGGCTTGATGCCTTCGAGAGCTGCCCTCCTTCAAGACGCCTGCACATCCTTTGTCCAGCCTCCTCAACTGGTCGAAGGAATCCAAATAGATCACCGTGAGGTCATCGTCCTCGGGGATCGGCTTGGTCTTTGCGATCTCGGACGAAACCGGCACGCCAGCCTCAGAGAAAACCAGAGTTCTCACGATGGCCTGAATGACCGATACCGAACTCAGCCACCCCATGGGGAGAACATTCATGGCGGGGGAAACCATCTTTCCTGGGGGCCCACCGAAGACCTTGGCATCGACTAACTTCCCAAAGGCCATAAACCGGTTCCAACACGGCAGCAACCGAAACAAATTGAAGCATGAAGTGAAGTCTTCCGAGTCCACATACCAAATCTCTGACTCGTCCTGCTCCAACAAGGTCAACTGACCCAAATAAGGGAGAAGGCGGTCGTCGCCCTCGATGTGCTCCTGGAACATGTTGGAGGGGATCAGGTTTGAGATAAAACGCTGGAGAACCTTGGTCTCTCCCCCCACCGTCTTCAGTTTCTTCACTCCTCCAGCCCCGTTGAGGACTGGGTGACCGTTGGCGTCCTTAAACACCTCATCAGGCTCAACCATCACCATCAAGCCTCGTGCGTGGCCGGCTGCAACTATCTTCTCCCACTCTTCCGCACTTGCCCTGACTTTGGACACTGCCGGCTTGGAAGGCCACTCATGTAGCTGCTTGAGACAGCTAGTGGGGTTCAAAAGGCTCTTCTTGATGTGGTCCGGCACAAGGTCAACCGCGTCCTGAATCGCAGCCTCCCCCACTTGCGGCCATGCAGCAATGACTCGCTCGGCCACAAGATCCTCCAGAGGAACAACAGGGTCCCCTGCGTAATCAAACCTTGCCCCGGCCAGGGCCTGGGAGGACTACCCTATCTCGGGGGTGAGTACATCACTCTGGTCCAAGTGCTCCACAAGGTCCACTAGATGCATCACACAAGCCCTTTGCGACTGAGTGAGTTCCCTTTCTTCAAAGCGGTCAGGAAAGGAAGCACCCCCTGCATAGAGTGCCAGGTAGTTCGGGGTGTTGATCATCCCATTCACCGAATCGGCTATTGTACCATTCTTCTCCAAGAGGAAAGTGGCCACAGCTCTAGTGCAGATGGGAAACAGATCATCCCCTCGCTGCTGAGATCGAGGCTCTGCCCCGGGAGGCGCTCCTTCATGGTGTGAAAAACGTGCGAGGGGTCCCATTCTGCACGGCAACTTGGGGAGCTGACGCCACAGTCTTGCCAAGACCTCCACTGGTCTCATCTCAGAGCTTGCACACTCACGCCATATGGCGGTCCAACTAGCCCAAGGGTCAGCCGCTTTATTTTCCTCACCCGTCCTCACAGGGTCATGTCCTTCTTGTCGGGCTCTTTTCCTTTTCCTTTTCCTTTCTCGCGACCTTTCTTTCCTCCTTTGTCTTGATTCCTGCGCCCGTCTAGGCGTGGGGCCTTGGGTTGGCGGTCGTAGCTCTTCAGCTTTTGATCCAGTAGATACTGGTTCGAGGTGTAGACCTCCTCCGCCCTGTCCAGAAGGGTCGCTGATTCCGGACTGAGCAACTCTAGGAATTGTGCGGAGCCCCAGTGACCGTCCACCGAGGCCTTCTGAAGCGCCTTGACTCTTTGCGCCAGAAGGTCTGCCGCCTGTGCGGGTTTCATCTGCGCCAGCATGTCGATCGCCGTGCAGATTGTCCTCAGCTCTCTTTGCGTTCGAAGGTTTGCCTTGCCCCCCAACTGCGGGATCATCACCGTCAGCAGGTAATGTACTGCAGCAGGAGGAGTAGGACTCACCTCGTTCTCGTTGATGGCCGCCCCCACCGACCCGTGGGCAGACTCCTGCACCATCTTGTGGAGCATGCGAGCCGCGAGCCTGCCCGGCTTCTTCCGTGCGTAGCTGGCCAACTTCAATTGGCCGCTGGCCTTTCGATCGGCAGGGGCGTCTTGAAAAGACTCACTATCAGAGTCCGACTGAGTTGGAAACCGAAGGGCTTCTCCACCTCCAAAGGGTCCTCGGTCCTTCTTAGCGCCCTTCTCACGTTCAGGCTTCATGGCCGTGACATCTTCTCCAAAGAGCCGCTCCTCCTTGGAATCCTCAGACGACTCATCCTCTTTGGACTTGGAGGAGGAACGGTCCTCACCCTTCTTCTTTCTCTTCTTCTTTTTCTCCTCACGGTGCCTTGACGCACTCCTCCTCCTTCTCTTGCGATCATCTCTCCGACCTCTTTCATCTCCGCCTGAAGCGGGTGAGCGCGACTTCCTCCGTCGAGGCTTGGGTTTGTCCTTCTTCTTAGGCTTCCCCTCAGCTACCGGCTTCACCGTGCCCTTGTCCTTCGCGCGCTGCTTCTTAGCAGCCTCTTCCAAAGTCTTGAGGTCCTCCTGTGCCTTCTTCAACTTTGCTTTCAGGCCAGGAGACAACGAGCGAGTGCGTGACCTGGTGCAGTCATCCTCTTCCTCACCTGACTCATGCCAGGGCAACAGTCCTTTCTCACCGCCAGGGGCGGGTCCCAAGTCTGCTTTCTTGAGGTAGTCCAGGACGGACTTCTTGCAAGGTCCAGTGAAAGCCCACCCAGGGACCTTCTGATCTATCTCCTTCTGAGTCAGCTCCCGGAACTTCTCAAGGTGCATGAACTGCCCCCGGCGCGTCACGTCACAGTCCATGGAGTTCTCCTCGCAAAGGTGAAAGTGACCTTTCTTTGCTAAGCGCTGGCCTTCACCCTCTGTCATCCACCAACGCAGATGCTGGTCTGAGGCAGTCACATAGGATGCAAGGATCCAATGCCCCTTGGTATCGGTGCTCTCGTGCTTGATCACCTCCAGGATGATAGTCCCTTGGCTGCGTCCTCCGTCATCTCGGACTGCCGCCTCCAGCACCTGCTTGGGCCGGAATTTGAACTTGAACCATCTTGACCGGTCCACTCCCCCAGACAGCCACATGCTGTCTGGGGGGTAAGGGTTGCTGTAGAACCAACAGCTGCGATCAAGGAGACATATCATCGTTGCTCCATTACATGGCAAGCCACTCCATTACGGCCCCACTCATTGCAATATACGGTAGTTACCGTATATATATATAATATGATATAGACCATTCTACAAAGCGAAGCTAAGGAATTGAGGGCGTGGCCAAAAGCACCGCAACCCCATGCACCCAAGATGAGTATGTCAATCTCACCTGCCAAGTCGGAGCATCTATAGATATAATATATACATCCATTATAGATTATTATAGATATAATATACACCATTATACACCTATATAATATACAGTAGAATACAGTAGATATAAAATATATAGATAATATCATAATAACATGAGAGTTGTATATGATTGCAAGAAGAAGGAATCGTATATTTTGTGTTTGCACATGCTTGCATTTGTTATAGTTCTGGCAATTCAGAAACTGAAGTGTACAAAGGTTGCTTTCTCCAAATACGAGCGACTCTTGTAAGATTTAATCGGTGCCTGGTTCAGTCACATGCGGCGCATTGAAGATGTTGGTCATAGTCCTTTTTGGCTCAGAGAAACTTTGACAACATAATGGGTACATAGTCTCAGACATAGTGGTTATATAATGGGCTGGGCAAATTGGGATATAGCTGGAATATAACCAACCAATATCAACCAATTTTGGGCTTGGTCGGCTTTGTCGTGAAGATGTCTCACTAGGGAATCCAAATTATGGCTTTCTTTAGCAGTGGGGATGTAGATCCAGATATTTTCAGCAACCGAGTCCTGTAAATGAGTTTCTCATCATTTACCTTGGCTGATTTTGGAGCGTGGCGCTTCTGATTTTGGACAAATCACATCCAAAATCTCTCTTCTCATAGGTTGCTATTTTTGAACACCTGATACTCTAACGATAAAAAAACAGGACTGGGTCAAAAAATCAGACCGACGACGCACATCAACGCACAGGCCTAGAGATTGTGTCACTTTCGTCACTGTCGTCACTATAGATGTTGTGAGGCAGCCCATTGTTGAGTAATTTGCATCCGAATCATGCCAAGAAACATCTTTGCTAAATTTGATATTGGGAGCTGCCGCGGCGATCATCGACCTGAATCAAAAAGCGATAATTAGCAAGTTTGAGGGGGAGCCGACGCATAGTCTTTCTTTCTTGGTGTATGATCTGTATGTGCTGACATTTCTACTTTCACTTAATTCATAAGAACAAGTCTTTGCCTGATTTGCCTGATCCAGCACTCTCCTTGATGTCCACTAAAATAATTATTGCAACTCATTTCTAAGGGTCAGACACCGTGACGTGCTCGCTTGGTTTCAAGATTGGGAACCTGGTCTTGAGGCACTGGTTCTGAAAGACTCCGGACTCAGGATTTAGATGATGGTTTCAAGTTTCAAATAAACAGCATCCTGGCAGCTTTTGCCACATGTAGCGAAAAGTCTGGAGAGCAACAGAGGGCATTTAAGGGTTTAAGATCGTTTAAGTTAATATTGACATCATATCACTCACATATCACATATCATTCATGACGGAGCCCAGGAACCGCGAAAAAAATACCTGGGGCCGCTGGGGCCCGAGCCCGTCGAGTGCATCGCCTCGACAGATTTTGAGATTGGTGGTGTACAGCACATCGCAATATCTCCTGCAGGGGTGCCGTTCACCCAAGGGCCAACAGGCAAGGTGAGTCCAAAAAGCTGGGCGGTTTCCTTTGATTCACAGAAAGAAACTAATAAAAAGCAGGTGGAATATTCTGAAGCTACAAGATGCACGTCAGTCGTCAATCACTTTCCTTGATTGCTTGCTGCACCCTAGGGGGAAATGTTCAACCGCGTAACCCAATGTGTTCATCCCGGTTTTGCACATCTCACTGCGGCTGAATTGCAGCTGAATTATGCCAGCAGCACTCTGGCTTGTCAGCCGATGAACAAGTTGGAGGCCCAAAAGGGTACAAGCCTTGGTTCAGCAAACCATGGTACAGCTAAAAGATGCTAAAAGTGCATTGTCCAACATCTTCTGGATCAAAGATGTGGGCCACGGTCAATATTTGGCTCCAAGTCATCAATTTTCAAGAGTGTCTTATCGTTTTTCAGGTTTTGGTATATATAAGCAAATGTTATCGTTTTTTGAGGAGTGTATTATCGTTTTCCAAGCCCCAGCTCAATTTCCAAAAAATAAAGATGTCTCGAATACTACTCTCCATGAATTATTAGCCGATTTTTTTTATAAAAATTGGCTGTAGCTCATGTGCGCTTTCAATGCTCAGAGCGACAAATCCAGCATGAGAGGTTCATCTGTGCCATGCACTTGGTTTCTCTTGCATCACCGCATGCAATAAATTGAGCATAAAGTGCCAGACCATCTTCTTGTGCTTTCATCAAAGAGGGGTACAGTAACGGAATTTGCCTGAGGTGGATACGAAAACAATGCCAATGGTGTGTTTCTTCAAAGGTGCTTGTACACAAATGCACCCCCATAATATTTCTGTTTGGTTGACATCAGAGCTGGGTACAGGTCAAACATTGGTAAGACATGGTAAGACAATATTTTTTAGGAGTGGCCCCCAAACAGCCAGCCAATGTCAGCCAATCACTGACTCTGGTAGAATACCAATCTGCTCCAGATATTGCCTGCAGAGATCTTCTTCTTGAGCTGTAGCGCCCATTTTGTAGCCTCCACCTTAACAGCGAATTTGGACACAACCCCAAGGACCTTGGTTTTATGGGCTAACCTTCCCCAAAATCCATCCCAAATCCAGCAATTTTCTAGAATTGTCGTTTGTTTTCTATACAAATGAAGCCAAATTGGTGATTCAATCTGGGTCTCATGTCTCAGGTATGAGAAACACCCATCAACTGCCACTCTGACACGTCGGAGCGGGCATGAAGCTGGTGCTACTGCAATCGAACCCGGTAACCCAAGTGAACGAGCGCCCAACCAACGTCTTTGCCATTGGCGAAGTTCAGGGCACAAATCTCGGCGCACAAGTTTTCTTTGGAATATATGATGGTGCCATACTTAGCACAACAGGGACTAGTAGACTAGGACCTGGACTTGTCCCTGCCTTCGGAAATGTCGGCAAGCCTGTGCTGTGTCCATCCTCAAATTGCAATGGTCGGGGACGAGCTATTCGCTCAACATTTTTTCAAACAAATCAGCAGCAAACTACCCCACAGACATGACTCAGCTTACGACTCACGACCTTCTCTGAGGTCAATACGTGGAAATGGAAATGATGGGCACACAATCTTTGGGCCTGATGCCAACTTCACGGATTGTATCGGATCGTCTGAAGATGTCTGGAGTGAAACCATTGAAACGCCATGGCCTCTTGCATTCCGCTTGACCTCGGTTAAAACATCTGAGAAGCTGCAAACACATCTTTTCTTGTTGGTCTTCTTAGCCAGTATGCAACTGAAAATGTAATGTATCATATATTAACCTACAGCCTTCAGCCGCAAAACCTATTTTGTGGGGGTTGCCAGAAAAAAAAAACATGTTTTTGCAAAAATAACCTGTATTTGTTCAGCAAGGCTTTCGGTTACGCGAAAATGCTGTTAAACTATGGGAAATTGCGGGCAAATTACGGGTAGAAATTTGGAAAACAAAATTTTCTAGTTGTTCTAAAAATACATGTTTTTTTTTACCTTAAAATCTTGCAAACAAAACAGGTTTTTTGATTTCAACCCCAAAAAAGTGGGTTGAGGGTGCCATAGGAATGTATAATGTGTAATGCAATTTTGTTTGACCATGGACAAATAGCTGTTTTGATGGACGGAATCTGAGAGTTGGGCTCACAGGAACAGTCCGTGGGATGGTCCCGAAGGATCTTTGTCGAGCTTCGTTGTCCTCTGCCACCTGCTACAGACCATAAATGGATAGGATATGAATAGGATACCCTCTGGTAATTTAACATAGCTATTGAAAATGGCCATTTATAGTGAGTTTTCCCATAAAAAATGGTGATTTTCCATAGTTATGTTAGTTTACCAGAGGGTATCTATGGATATCTGGCTGGTTTGGACTCCCAAGAATATATCCGAAGATGGCTAAAGATGGGTGCATCGTCCCAAGGTTGTTACCCAATGGTTGCTTTCCCCAATGGTCAGAATGTTGTGCCATGGCTGCCATGTCGCGCGGCCTGAGCCAGCAATGCCTTGAGTTTCTTGTAATCTTTGTTAACCTGCCGCGCCGCCGCATGGTTGTCACATGTTGTCACACCAAGCCATGGCTGTCCAAAAAAAAACAGGGCGCATGTTCCGCAACTTTTCCTGCACCCAAGTCGGGTACAAACCTTGTTTGTTAAGGGATTGCTATTTTGAATTCTGCTCAAGGCACTTTCTGCAGTCCTTGATGTGTATGTATTGTGATGAGTTTTCCCCAGTCATTGCAAACAACCAAAATGGCTTGTAGCCGACAAGCTTGCCGCAATTCAATATTTCCAACTGCTGCTATGTCCAGATTCCAGCCTTGTATTGGCCAAACTTTTCCGCGAAGTTCGCCTGAAGCGGCGGGGCTGCAGTTGACATCTGCAGTGAGTCGCATGTGCCTAGAGGTGCTACGATATTGCTGTCAAGCGGCATGATCCCAACCCCGATCTGCCATTGCTGACTGAAGTTGCAGCTGTAAACCCAAACATGCCTTTGATCTATCTGAATCTATCTGAGTTGGTGATGGTTCAAGATATATATATTCAAACAGTTGAATCAAATTCAACATAATTCAACTCACATTGACATAAATGGTTCAGATTTTGTCAGCAGAACTTGAGGATTGAGCTTTCAAGCTGCCTCAAGCTGAGCATGTCAAGATTTCAAGTGAGGAAATCATCTTCAAACAAGTTCATATCATGTCGCTCAACCTGCAAAATCACATCCTTTGGTAAAATTGCAGCAAGTGCTACAGGTTTGGTTGTCTTCCTGGATTCACAGTTTCGCTCTTGCGATTGCTCGGCCCGTTATTTTTTTTACCTCTGACATCAACAAACCAGAACTTTTCAGGTCTGAGACGTCTGAAAAGAAATCCTGAGTCAGCTACACAAGAAGTGCCAGCTTCTAACATGGTACATCATGGGACGCAATAAGTCAAAGTGCCATCAAACAACAAACGTGTGAAGACCATTCAGTGGTCGAAGCGGGGTGGCGTCGCTTCAGTATTGTCTGAAAGGGGTTGCACTTGGGAGCTGGTTTGACTGCAAACACTTCTGTTGTAGCAGAGCTGCTTCGACCTCATTGAAATCAACATATCTTTGGGTTTGCACATCACAAGCAAATGATTTCAATAACATCTTTCCATCTGCTCAAGCACAATCTCATCTTCTCAACCAACAAGTAAGATATCAAACATCATAAAGGAACCTTAAGTGATCAATGAAATCTTCGCAGCTGGCGCGTAAGTTGCGAGGTCTCACTTTAGAGACTCACAGGTTTGCTCTGATTTGGACCTTGGAGAATCCCAGGCCATTTGACACGTCGTGAAGATACGCTTAAAGAAAACACGTTGTGATGGTTGACTCCTCTAAATCTAAATGTCTTCGTATGAAAACGGCCGTAATTCGTAATTCCAATGGACTCTAAGAGTCTAAATGTCACCAGTTTCAAGGCTCCCTTAAACTTCATCAAAAAATATGAACACCACATGCTAAAACATGCTAAAACCATCTAAAGCCTGTCAAATTCCAAAACTCAATCTAAACTCTGTATGGAAACCTACTCTCTTCTAAGCAAGCCCTGTACACGAGGCAAACACTGGCAAAAGGAACGTTTCAATTCCATTGAGTCAAATCACTTTCAAATCCAGGACACTACAGCGAAGAAATTCCGATTTCTTCAGTGAAATTCATATGCTAAAAACATTAAAAAACACTAATGTTGGTATAGTCAAGTCTGTTTTGAAGTGCCAACTGGCCAACTTCCAGTCGTCATGTTTCAAGCCGCTTCCAAGCTGCCAAGTGACCATTGACTTGCTCTATCTTTTGCCTGACTTCATCTTCAGCAGGAGCCTCAGGTAGATCCTGATCTCCATTGGACGCAGCCTGTTGGACTCGGTCACGCGTTGGGAAGGCTCTTGATGGCCTGGGTGCAAATGGATCAAATGGAAAGGAAGGAAGCGAAAAGCTTCCTCCTAGCACACCGAGTGGACGATACAGGCAAATGCACTAAACAAAAGACACTAAGCCGCAGTGTACTCTTCACTTGTCACAGAGAAATGAGATTGGCAACATGTCGTTTGGTTGCTATTGTTCCTGCTTGGTCCTACTTGTCTTGTATCATCAGTATCATCCTTCCGATGATTGTACTTCATTCACTTGCAAATGTATGTATGATGTTTTTTTCTTAATCAATTTTCATTATGATTATCTTCCTCAATAATTTCTACTGTATCCAGCAACTCAAGATATCTATTCAAGTCCAACACTACTGAGACTTGTGCTTTTCCAGAAGCCGCAAAAGAGGATCTCGCGCAATCCTGCACGACGAACAAATTCCTCGAAACTCGGAGATTGAACCCCGTGAGGCATTGCAATTGCATGCATCCTGCCTAGACTCTTGTGTTGCTTGGAGAGTGCGGATATTCTCTCGAATGGCAGAGCGAAAATGCAAAAGCCTTGGTCTATCAGACTTCCGACTTCCGACTTCCGATCGGGGCTTGGTCGTCGTGGTTGCCTACATGTACCCATGGGGTCGATGTAATATGACTTCATTAGTAATTTAATATAATATGTCATCACACACGCACATTTAATATATATATATATACATAATGCTATTCTGTGGTCGTGTGTGTACGTATGATGTTAGCGCCTTTAGTGCATTTTTGTTGGGTTCGCACAAAAAACTCAGCAAATGAGATGCTGCAAATTCGGTGTTTCGTTTTCCCACCAGGCTTCCCAACTCATCTTGTGTGGGCTCCGGAGCTTTGTTTTGGAGTTTGACCTCCACTGTATGGGTCAAACATGGTCAAACATGGAAAACATGCAGGGTTCGCCCCATTCATCCAAAAAAAAGCCCATGGTTCATAACTTTCATAATTAACCCAAGAATATCCACTTTTCCGACTTTTCCATTTAAATTTGAGTTTACCTCAAATTTAAGTCATTACGATTTGAATCCCCACACCCGACTCAGGTCCACCAGCACCTTGCCTTGAGGTTGCTGAGAGCTCGTAGCCAAAGCTTCCGCTCCGAAGAGCTTTGGGATGCGAAATGGTGGCCTAAAAACAGCGGACACAGCGGACATGTCTTCTGGATCCGGATAGATCTGGATAGAACTGGACAAATGAAGTGAGTTTGTCTGAAAACAGTGTACCCCAAAATTCAGTGGTTTATCATCATTCTCCCTATTGAGATGTTTTTTTGGGATATTAAACTATATATATATATATAATTATATATATATATGATATTATAATATATATATACCCCATTTTCAAACAGGCCCAAATCTGATCCACTCAAATCACTAGATCTGGATATGAGGATAGTACATAAAAACTGATGATACACTGATCCACTGATCCAAGATAATCAAAACAGATTCAACCCCAGCCTTCAACCACGAAGCAGCTGCAGTTGATGCCGACTACATCGCAACACACCTCACAGAGATGATTTTACAGTTGGGCCTGCGCGGATGAAGAACGGAGACGCTGGAGGTACTCTCCAGGTTTCTTCATCAAATGCTGTGCTCCCTCCAATCTTTAAGACCATGAAAAAAGTTGAAAACAATTGAAAAATTTGGGTTCGTTCCCATTTCTAGCAGCATCCGAGAATTAATTTCTCATCCACTTGACATCTTGGCAACCCTCCAAGCATCCCGGCAGAAGATTCAAAGATCGGGATCTCCATGATGGGACCTGCAAGTCGCAAGTCGCGGTAGGCTCGGGGAATCTCCGGGATACGCCAAGACACTGGTCCAAAATCAGCTCAATCATGATAATCGTGATAACATTTATTCATGAATAAGAGCTGATTCATTTTTTCACTTTGACTGCGATCAATTTCGGATATGCTTGGCATAGATATCAATATTGTCAAGGAGGAAATGCAACAATCTCCACATCAAGGTCTTGCAGAAGTAGCCTGCAACCACGGGCTAATCCTGAGCCGCCGGCTCTTGCAAGCGTCGTTCTCATAGATCACTAAGCCTGGCTGTCTCGCTTTGTCGTATTTTGTCGTCACTTACTCCCAAAGTCTGCCAACCTTTCCGGTTCCATCCTTGTGTCTGAAGCTGACCATGGCATACCACGGCTAGTAGTGTTGCACCTTTGGGCAACCTATTTTTCTGCGACAGCTTTGCATTGTCACAAGTGTGACAATGATGGTAATCAAGCAATCATGCTGGAAATACTGGCACGAGGCCCAACGGGAGCTTGGAGCTCACAATAGACCACAGATAGCGCATCAGGGTCATCCCTGGCATATCGTTCAAGCAGTCCGAGTGATTTGATGCACAAAATAATTCCACCTATAATCCTATGTCTACCAACCGTGCAGTGCAGTGATGCTCGGTAGAAACCTGCGCATTTGCAGCATTTGCACATGAATAATAAATATACAAAAACCAGCAATCAGCAATGTTTCGGAATGATAGTTGCGCGGCGTGTTCAATCTGGTTCTAGTACAGAGTTCCGAATATTCAGTAATTAAATGTAATTAACTTTGCAAATCAATGGTTTGCTGATGTTTGCTGCACTGAAGATTGTGCTTAAGGAAGGACACAAAGGAATCACTATACCAGTAGGGAACATCAAGCCATGTATCGTCATGGAGAAGGTGTCCTTCCATCGATCCATTTTTTGTCAAAATAGTGCGCTAACATCGTTTGATTCCTTCATCATCTTCATCCAAATCAATTGAATCAATTGAATCCACTTCACCACTGTCACAGCGGCTATGACCCCAAGCTTCGCCTGTGAATGAGGTAACCTGCCAACAACCGCCGGAAGGTCTTTGGAATCCCAGGCAAAGGGTCGCAGCTGAGCTCCGCCATAGGCAGCAAGGAGTCGATGATCAGCAGAATGGTGTGGGATAGGCCTAACACCCATTCCGAACGCTCCTGAAGGCTGAGAATTGCTGAGATAATGCTGAGATATGCTGAGATATTTTTCAGAACAGAATGTCAGAACGAAGAGAAGTTGGTGAATTGAGTGAAGCGTCTCAGAGTTGGTCAGGTTGCATGGCCCATTCGTGAGCAGTCCTCCTCAGCTTCCCTTTCTTGAGTACTTCGCACAGCAAAGTAACAGCATGGGTCTGGCTCCTGCAAAGAAACCTGCATGGCTCACCGTGGGGGTTATGGATAAATATGGAGAAAATAACTTAAGCTTTAGCTGCAGAATGATCCAAAGTTGGACCACCCGCAAAGCCAACCATAAAACCACTCTTATTCCATTCACTAGTGAATCACCTAATCGTATTGGGTTCACCATAGCCCCATGGCTGAACCATGGCCACCGCAGGCGCCTTGAAACTTTTGAGTCTAGCACACTCACCTGACCTTGGTGGTACCATCACCGCTGACGGAATTTTGTGGTAACGAGTTTGAAAGTGTGTCCAAATTGTCCAAAGCAATCAACACAGGTTGGCGAAGCAAAGAAATGTGATCCAACATGCGTAGAGGTTTGAGAAAACAAAAACTGGCTAAATGGTGAGATATGATTCATCCCTCCTTCGCCTCCTTTAGATGAACACTTTATAGCGCGTCGTGCATCCATCAAATTCCCGAGTTTTTTGACGTATCAGGATCCTTTTGACCGGAAAAACATTACAGTACAATGCCATTTTTGGATACTTTTGGAACATTCAACATAGCACGAATACAAGAGTTGATCCAGTCTAGGAAGTCCAAGTGATTCAAAATGTTCTCGAGCTGCGGGGATCACCCTCCACTTTGCTGGCTCAGTTCCAAATCTTCCAGTTTAAAAGAACCCAAGTGACTGGAAGCGGCAGTTCCTGATCAACGAAAAAGGTGACAGAGACACTGACGCCTGCAGCGCCCATCAAAGCTCCCCAACGATCAATGCAAAGGTGGGAACCTAAAACTACAAAGGTGAGAGCTAGCGAGAAAAAACTATCTGATCAGTCTGATAACTACAGTAGTCCAATGCCGACCCAAAAGTCAATCAAATATACCCCATTTATGTGCTATTCAAAATATAGAAAAATCATCAGATTACATCAAAATCAGATAAGTCAGTCCCCTTTCTATATATATATATATTTCATGGGTTTCCCTATGGTTTTCCATGGTTTTTCTCATGAAAATCATCAAAAACTCACCACATCGGATCGCCTCCCGGCCATCCAGCGTGGAGAAGGCGAAGCCGTTGACGAAGAGACTGAAGGTCACCGACTCGAAGCGGTCCTGGTTGTTCTGCGGCGGTTATGGTTACGTAATCTGAAAAAATGATAAAAAAGGGATCAATATCTTCGAAGGAAGTTTAGAAGTCAAACTTCCGACAATATGGACACATGAAAAGCAGAGGTGGGACGAGTCAGAGAAGAGAAGAGAAGAGAAGAGAAGAGGAGAGGAGAGGAGAGGAGAGGAGAGGAGAGGGGTCAAAAAGTAGGCTTGCTAAAGCGGCGGGTGCGGAGCCATGTGGTCAGATGAGAGATGACAAGTTGCACACCGTTGTGGCGCGAAGCACATTTCCAAGTCAAAATGTACAAAACACCTCAGCTTCGGAGCACGTTTAGAAGTTGCGATGTCGAGAAAGTGCACGCCGTTGCGGCGCGAAGCACATTTGCAAGTGAAAAGCTAAAACACTCTACGTTCAGAACACTTTTGGAAGTTGAGATGTCGAAAAAGTGCACGCCTTTGTGGCGCTAAGCACATGTCGAAGTCAAAATGTACAAAGCACACCACGTTCAGACCGCTCTTGGAAGTTGAGATGTCGAAAAAGTGCACGCCGTTGTGGCGCGAAGCACATTTCGAAGAAGGTTTTGTAGCAGTTCCAAAAACGATGCCAGGCTTGGGACATTTGAAGAAGATCTGCAAAGGTGCATTTTCCGTGGCAGGCACAGTACAAGAGACATGTTCATCAGAGATGTTAGGAGGTCGGGGCGCTGATTTCCTGAGAGGGGTTGCATTTTAGAGCATCAGATCTTCAGGTTTGCTGAGATGATTTTGTGTGACAGGTGCAGCACTTCGTATGACCTGGCATCACTTTTTCGTGGCAGGCGCAGTACTTTAGACAGGTGGAGTGGAAAAATCGCAAAACGCGTTTTTTACGAGGCCGTCAGCTCTGCACTACACTAATTACACCACACCACGACTACAACTGCAACTGCACTTGCAAATACACTAATTACACTACATTACAGCTACGGCTCCACTACGCTACATTACACTACAACTACAGCTACAACTGCAACTGCACTACAGCACACTACATCCAGCAGTTGTGGTAAGGTGACCACTGCAACCATTGCAGCCATTCCAAAAAACACAACTCCAACCACCTGTCGGTCCATCAGTGGATTCGCTCTGCCATCCATGATTCACAACAACCAACCTCTCCTATAGGTTTCCCATTTTTGAAACTTCCGCCACCGCCTTGTGCGGTACTACTGGTATTAATTATTATATAATGGTATATTTCATTATATCATTGAAGGTAGATGGTACTATAGAGTCGTACAATAGATCTTCTACAGATGGTACAATATAGATGTCAAAATAGATGTTCTATGTCTGCTATTTAGGTTAGAAAATGTTACAAGTAAGAGGTCCTATGTCTTAGAGGTGTGGGATACATGTCACATACACACCCTTAGAACTGGGATATTTCATGGGGTATGGCAATGCAAAGGCCATCTTTGAGCATGAGTTCAACCCATGGCTGACTAAATCCTATAAGAATCTCTGGTTTATCAAAGGATGGAAAGTCAGGATGTTTTGAAATTGATACCCGTCAAGCCGATCGATGATAGGATGATTGATGATAAATGGATGCGTTCCACAACAGCTTGCGCAAACAGTAGCTTGGTTCAAGCCTTGTAGCTGTCTATTTACAAAGTGAGGGTCTCTGACGGCACAAAGTGGACTAGAAAGGAGCTTTCTCAAAGCATCTGGTACTCAGTGCTCAGCAACATGTCAACCCAGCACTCCTCCTCGCACATTTTTGCCTGCATTTGTGCAAAGATATTTTCAGACACCAGTCTCAATCCAAACATTTGGAGGCATCATTGTGCCATCCAAAGTTTCAACCACCTGCCCGCACGATATTCACGCAGGTCACGGCGCTCAGAAGTTCTGATGCGGCTGTGCCACAGAGGCATGTTGTTGAGCCTGCAGGGATTGGTACCCGTATGCTGGGAGTAAATTCAGTGGTCCCCAAAAAGAAGTAGATGCCCCGTTCAGTATGCCCGCGGGGAATTCTACTGTGATACTATGCTTGTTGATATGCTATATGCTGATGTATCATTTCAATCCTTGATATCGGGTGATCAGTGACTTGTGAGATCTCATTTCGGAAAAAAAACGACTTTCAGAGCTGTGCCTTCATATTGATCAACCAAACTTGTATCGTTGACAAGTTGGCAGAAATGAGGAAGCGATCAACATGTGCACAAGGATAAAAACATGGTACATGGTCTGGTCATCCATCCCATGATGGGAATCCTGAGTCTACAAATCCCTACCAATTCATTGATGACCATCCCCCAATATGGGTAATCCAACTTTGGACGATGGCACATGTGAATGAGCGCTGCAATAAGTGGGAATGAGCCGCAACGTACCTGCTCGTGGAACAAATCAGCAAGCGGGTGGACCTTCCAAGCTCTGATGCTGAGCAGGAACGGAGTCTGAACTAGTAGGCCGACCGACCTTCCTTAAAAAGTATATACTAATATCTGATTCATCGAATATATGCTCCAACCAGCCTTTCAGAACAAAGTGTCAGAAACATTAAAATGGCAAATCCGCACACTTTAGCTTGTCGAAAAGGCAGTCCGTTCATTCAGCCCAGGTCGTCTTCCCCGACCTTCTCGCCGTCTTTGCTGCATAGAAGGGTACCACCAGGTCCAGCCTGAAAGGATGCTGGTCCTCTACCCTTGTCACGTGAAACATGGTTACCTAAGGTTGTTGAAACCCATCCAAGATCATGTATGCAAAAGTATGCCGAACTTCCCATTTCAGTCACCCCGGGGAACAGGGGTTGCTGTACACACGTAGACACACCAGTTGTAAATGCGCTTCAGCCACGAGTTTGTGACCAGTGGGACCAATACCCTAAGCTCAGCACCTGCAAATGGACACGATGTTTGCCGATCATGTAGTTCCCGGGACCTGAGTCGGTAAGAAGAACATCACTTTTGGACCATCACCTGATGCGGCGAGTCATACTTGAGGATTTTGTGGGTACCTGAGTCTTTACCCTACTCACATTAGAATGATGGCACATCCAAATCAGTGAATTGGGCTGCATTCATCTGTTTGTGCTGACCAAAGCAATCTGCACTGGTTTTTTTCTCATTAGCAAACGACGCAACTCAAATCCATGCCCCTTTTTCAACCACATGGTAGTCATGACAGGTTTGTGGCCATCTTTCGCTGATGATATTCTCATCTCAGTTCTCCATCCACACCCGGAAGTTCTGACGTATTCTGACGTCTCAGTGCCGCTGCCTCTTGTGTAAAAGCCATCACTTCCCAGATCTGCTGGAGCTGGGCATTCACCAAATTCTCGGACTTGTTGAACTCTTCGCATGGTACGTGCCGTCAGGTGCAACCCTGGTCGTACCGCTGGTGTCACTCATCCAAGGAAGTCATCCTGGAAGGCCAGGTCAGTAGCCTGAGAGGATTCCCATGGCAGCATATGGCAGCATCATGGCAGGCCGCAAAAAAAAAAAAAACATGGTGATTATAAATGGGTACCCGGTGATGAGTGGAAGTAAACATCCAATATACAAACATCATTCAACTGCTTCTCTAGTGATCATATGTGATCATGATGATTAATATGCTTTAAAGATCCATTGGCTGGTGATGGTACTTTACCTTCATGCCATTGTCTGAGCATCCACCGGAGCAAGCACATTGCTGTGGCATTGTATAGAGTCACCTGAGGCATCGACCCACGGCGCTGGACAAAACTTCTTCTCGAAGAGCTTCATCCACAAATTGCAATGCTGAACCAGATTGATGGACTGCCTCAGCGATGCACAAAGCCAATTCGGGCATGCTGCGGATGCATGCTGTTCTTGCTTGCCGTTTCTGCAGAGCTGGGCAACTTGTGGGGAACCATCGAACCAGACACAAAATCCAACAACACGATCCTACGATCGTCAAGTTTCACGTCAGGGAAGGAGTGAAACTGCATTTCAAGAAAAGAATCCCAACTGAGTAGCAAGTGAGAACCTCCAAAAAAATTAATCTATGTAATTATGGTCTGTAGCTAGAATGCTAAAAATGAACACCCCAGACATCTCCACATTGAGTGTAATCGTCCCCAACGGGGCAAACAGGAACTAGCAGGCCTTGTCCAAAAACAAACAGCCAGCTGTGTTGGGAACACTGCAATTTCCATCTTCAGAAATTATGATAATTATGTTTGGGATTCTTGGGGTTAACTTTGATTTCTTATAGAGATTACCCTCTGGTAATTTAACATAGCTATTGAAAATGACCATTGAAATAGTGGATTTTCCCATTAAAAATGGTGGATTTTTCCATTGTTATGTAAACGTTTACCAGAGGGTATACAGTCACATACAGTCACACACAAACGAAGCCACTGCTGAAATCACTTCTCGATCAGCTCGCAAATCATCTGAAGCAAACTGGAGCGCCATGCAGTCCTGTCAAATGGTCGGATGTCGTGAATTTTTGGCACGGGGAAATGATGTCCGACCTATTCAAAAAGCTATCTTAATTGATATCAATTGGTTGAAAGGGTCTGGATCTTGCAGGATTTTGGTGCCCAAAATCTTCAACGTAGGCATGCTCGGAGATCCCATCATGCTATACATGGAACCGGGTGGAAACTGTTCATTGCTGTGCGAGTAAGGTGGTGCCCGGCAGAGGGTCGACCCTTAAACAGCATTATACACCAACTGGAGAAGCCCAAATCAGTGGATGCTTGGGGTCACCAAGGCTGACACATATTTTGTTATTATATATGTTATTATAATATTGATGTATCATGTTTTATCTTGTGTTGTCTTGTTGGATGCAACTCTTCATGCTATTTCGACACAAAGAAACCTGCATCGAAAACCAACCCCTGCCAAATCCACAGCAAAATCCAGCAACAAAGATCGTTCGCTTGGCAGGGTCCCTGCGGACATGAATAGATCTGTTCCTGTTTTAGCTCAATCTCGAAGACCCACCTGCGCAACTGCTGCCATCACAATCTCTCGATCTTGCCTGCAGAACGTTTGGAGCCCATTCCCAAAGCCTCAAAGTTCAATCAGAACTTATCCAGCGAAGATGTCTGCAAAATATAGTCTTTCACAGCAAAGAGGCGCAGTCCAAAGAGAAGAAGAGTTGTCAATCTTGTATGTATGTCTGAATTGGGAATACTCCTCACATACTGGAATCTTTCTAGGGAAAAGGATATCAATCATCAGTGGATTCAGATTTGTTTAATGGGTTTTACCTAAATTTTCACTCAAACCCCATATCCGCCATATCTGCTGTCAGTAAAGCGGCCCCACCTGTAGATCTCTTGCATTTCCCCAAGGTGGCGCCAATCGTGTCGCACCGCTTTCAATGCTTCGTGGCGCTCCATGACCGCTCCTGGTGTTTAAGCCGAGGCATGAAATTCACCGAGGCTCCTACACTGAACTTGAATATAAAACAAGAAACTATGTCACATTCTTTTAGAGGTTGAGAAACGCTTCTGAACATGTTTATATTTGGGAAACTAGTCAGTTTTCTGGAGGTTTTCTGCGCAGGGCAAAAATTCAAGGGATCAAATCACCCAGGTTGGCACCAGGAGGCAGCACCCTGCCATTCATCTGCGTAAGTAAGTTTTCGTGACATAAAAAAAGGGGGTTTCCTAAAGTAGGGGTACCCCCCAAAATCATCCATTTTAGTAGTAGGATTTTCCATTATAAATTATAAATCATCCATTTGGGGTACCCATATTTATGGAAACCCCCATATGCATCCATATGCCAATTGCAAGATGTGCAGTGAAACAAACGCACGAGATCACTCGGAACAGCCACAACTATCGGGTCCTCCAGATATCTGTACTGCTGGAGGACAGCGTACCATAGCGATGTCGTGAAGCCTTCCTGCCTGGGGGCTTGATGAGCCATGGAATGAGAAAGAAATCGGTCCGAAAGACAAAGCGTTGACGTTTCAGCTTGAGATTCAAAATTAAAGGTAGGATGCAAAAATGGTCTTCAACTTTATGATGTAGAATGTCAGACATAGTTGTGTTCCATTTTGCAAATCTGCCATTCAACGTCCGTTTCCCACGCGTTTCCACCAGATTTCACTCATTACCCCCATGGCATCCCATGGCACCACTGGGCGCCTCAAGGGGAAGAACTTCTGTCAGAAGCACTGGATCTTCCAAGAGGTCCATCTCGTAAATCAAGCGTTGCTCTGATGGAAGGACTCCACAGATTGATTTGATCACTGCCTGAGGAGTGCACCACAGCAATCCAGTCGAGCAGGGATCATGTGGATCATGTGGATCTGGCAGAAAATCAACTCCCGCCACGGTCACTGCCCTCGGCAAAACAGCCACTGCCAAACAAGAAGATCCAGCTTCAAACTGGAATTTACATAAGCTTTGAAACATCTCTGCAAGAAGGACGAGCCAAGGTGTGGACTTCTTCCACAACTCTTCAAACATGTCCTATAGACTTAGAGAGGTCTGTCGATTTTGGGTCCAGTATCCCCCAGGTAGCCCCACATGGCACTGCTATCTTCAACCACCCTGCGTCGTGCCTTCACATCGCGCACACGCCAGGATGTCTCGGCCAACACATGACACAGCTGCTCCCGGAAACCGAAAACTCGTAGCTGGAGCCTGGGCACTCACTCTTGAAAGCATCAAAAACAGCATTCCAATGATTTCCAATAATTACAACATTAAATGTTGGAAATTCGCTCTCAAAAAAAAGGTTGTCATAGACTTGAAGTGACAAAGGTCCTTTCTGCTATGTGTGTGACGAGAGCTACAATTGAGATAACTGCTGCTTTCTCTGATCCACCTAGATATTCATATCTGTGTTGTTTGTTTCTTAGCTGGGGCGTAGTGGCTACAAGTACATTACTCTCATTTTGTGAAGCACCTGGAGATCAATCCCGCTTTCTTGGAAGAAACACTGTAATTACACCAAAGGTACAAGCGCAAACGAGCATGACGCCATTGCAATGGGTCAGAAAGTAGTCAAAGAGTGCAAGCTTAAAGAAAGTGGATAGGTTGTTTAACTGTTAGCAAATGAAACTCCTCGTTGAACCCCCACAAAAACCTGACGAACCTAAGTTAAGTGCTGAGACGCGATGCAGTTTGCGATAAGCTCAGCGCATGCTGTAAAGCCTTCCTCCATTCAGCAATGGTGTCATCCTGGGGTGCCAGAGGTGGATCTGAATAGTGGAGACAGCGGGTACAATTTTTTGGGCCATGATTCCATGATGCTGGTTGGTTTATTTGGGTATCCCCATGGATTATTCAGTAATCCCCATTCATAAAGCGTTTAGAACAGCCCATTGATCCCATTGGGCACTGCCGCTGAGGTGCTGACGGCTCCTCGCAGGGTAAGTACTCGCGCTCCATGCCGGAGTTTCAGGCCTGGAAGATCCCAGCTATTTGACACCTGAAACCCTGCAGCATTACCTTAACTTAATCCGCCGACCCCTGCCGTCAGCAGGGGGAGCGCGTCAGAGGAGGCCTTACTAGCAACAAGATGCCAGAAGGGGCGAAGAGTTTGTGCAGAACGAAAGCCGGCTCCAGGAGGACACGAGCAGGGTGGCAGTTGGCAGTGTAGAAACGCAGGAAAAGTCAAGGTTTGGAGCTGGTTTCTAGTCGGTTCAGAAAGTGACGTTTGGCAGTCTGGGATACGGGCCGCGGGCCCAATCCGTCCTTCACTGCCATGGTGTTTTAGCCCTGCGACACGGTCCTTGGACTCACCAGCTTTGGGACCCGAAGCGGTGAAGGAACGAAAGCCGGCTCCAGGAGGACACGAGCAGGGTGGCAGTTGGCAGTGCAGAAACGCAGGAAAAGTCAAGGTTTGGAGCTAGTTTCTAGTCGGTTCAGAAAGTGACGGCAGTCTGGGATACGGGCCGCGGGCCCAATCCATCCTTCACTGCCGTGGTGTTTTAGCCATGCGACACGGTCCTTGGACTCCAGCTTGGACCGAAGCGGTGCAGAAGGAAAGCCGGCTCCAGGAGGACACGACAGGGTGGCAGTTGGCAGTGCAGAAACGCAGGAAAAGTCAAGGTTTGGAGCTAGTTTCTAGTCGGTTCAGAAAGTGACGTTTGGCAGTCTGGGATACGGGCCGCGGGGCCAATCCGTCCTTCACTGCCATGGTGTTTTAGCCCTGCGACACGGTCCTTGGACTCCAGCTTGGACCGAAGCGGTGCAGAACGAAAGCCGGCTCCAGGAGGACACGCGCAGGGTGGCAGTTGGCAGTGCAGAAACGCAGGAAAAGTCAAGGTTTGGAAGCCGCAGAACGAAGGCCGGCTCCAGGAGGACACGAGCAGGGTGGCAGTTGGCAGTGCAGAAACGCAGGAAAAGTCAAGGTTGGGAGCTAGTTTCTAGTCGGTTCAGAAAGTGACGTTTGGCAGTCTGGGATACGGGCCGCGGGCCCAATCCGTCCTTCACTGCCATGGTGTTTTAGCCCTGCGACACGGTCCTGGGACTCCAGCTTGGACCGAAGCGGTGCAGAACGAAGGCCGGCTCCAGGAGGACACGAGCAGGGTGGCAGTTGGCAGTGCAGAAACGCAGGAAAAGTCAAGGTTTGGAGCTAGTTCTAGTCGGTTCAGAAAGTGACGTTTGGCAGTCTGGGATACGGGCCGCGGGCCCAATCCGTCCTTCACTGCCATGGTGTTTTAGCCCTGCGACACGGTCCTTGGACTCCAGCTTAGACCGAAGGGGTGCAGAACGAAAGCCGGCTCCAGGACGACACGAGCAGGGTGGCAGTTGGCAGTGCAGAAACGCAGGTAAAGTCA